CTGGGCTTCTTTTACCTCACTTAACCACAAGCCATAAATACATCTTCATCTGTAACATGGGTCAGGAAGGAGACGGTCAGTAACCTCCGATTTATAAATCCCTCTCCCCTGCTGCAAAAGGAATTTGAATAAACAATTATATCAGTATACAGAAGCCCATGAGCCTTCAGAGCAGATGGGAATGGGTAGGGTATTATAGCTACCATTATTTTTGGAGTTACCTTTAGCAAATGCAGTGTTGTTCTTGCTGGTGTTCTGGACCTTCATCAGTTTTAAGCGTAATTAATGTGATAGGTGTAAGCACTTAGAGTTGGCAAACCAGCTTGATTAATTTGTTCTGTGATATTTTGTTTGCTCTGTCCTGTCAACTCGGTGGATCCATTAGCAGTGCAAAAGAAAACAGGAGATGAAAGGGCAGCCTAGTCTCAAATGATTTTTCTAAACTAGCAGACTTTCCCTGAAATCTTTTGTGTTGGCTGTATTCCCATAAAGCAGGCCCCAGACTCCAAGGAGTTAACTTCATAGAAACTTCTGAGGAAAACAGATCTCTGCCTACCTTGACCTAAACGTTTCTGAAATCCCCTTACCTATGAGTAGCTACCAATATCTATCATCTTCCAGGGTGTGCTGAGATCTGTACCTCTTGCCAGTGAAGAAAGTTTCCATTCACTTTAGGATCCCTCATGTTGAGTGTCATTGCTACATCTACCCTCATTCTTTGTAAATGAGGAAAGCAAAAAGCACCTTCACAGTGTCAGCGTGAATAAGATCCAAAAGGATTGAAATAAAGGATGCTTTTCTTATATACTACATCTGACATCTGTGATTTATTACGTTTTATCTAAACACGCATCAGGGGGTAGATATCTCACTTCTGGTGATGGAGCTTGCAGTCTTTGTTGCTGAGAGGGCTTCACCATATGCAGCAAACTTAAAAAAGAACATCGCAATCCTTTGGGTGCCATTGGGGACAGCTAAATGAAAACCTATATTTGGAGTATAGCAGTGCAGTCGAATAAGATGTTAGTTTGCACAGTTACAGAAAAGAAATGACGTTGAAAATATGCTATTTGATAAATGCCGTCTCACATGGATTGTTTCTCTTGGGTCACCCTACCTCAGACAGGATACAACAGGAATAGAGGTATTCATAGATATATAAGGAAAATGATTAGAGAGAGAAAAGATTGCGACTGTTTTTCTTGGAGAGGAGATGCATAGACAATATTTACAGGTATATACAATTATAAATGGTAGAGAAAAGGTAATCAGGGTAATTTATCCTATTTTATAATGTAAGAGCAGAAGGACGTTCAATAACATTTGAAAGGCAAGAATTGTAAGCCTGAGGATTTAAAATTTTTAATTTTTTATATATATACTGTGCAATTTACTTCTACAGGATAACAGTGAATATGGTAAAAGTGGATGCTGAAAAGACTGGATATTTCTATGGATAAGAAAACAACAAAATATGGGACACATTATGAGGAAACTAAATAGTCAAAAGCTAGGAAGAGATTTGTGCTTTCCAGAAGGCAATCTCTTTAATTTGTGAAGATTAGGAAGAAACTTTCCCTTTTCACAGATTATTCTGTAAGTGCCTACTGGGGTGTTCCTTGCTCTTCTTCCTGAAGGACCATGTAGCAGCTAATGTCAAAAACTGGAGAATGGACACACAGGCCTCTTGCTATGATCTGGTATGACAGGTCCCAAGTTCCACTGTCTTATTTGCCCTTTGAACACTGGGTGACAGTGGTGCAAGCACTGGGGAGATGAGATAATATCCTGACCTGGAGACGCATGGTTATGGGGCACAGTTGTTTGAGATGTAGAACAAAGAATTACACCCATACTGTGCAGCAGAAATAATTTAGACATGGGATAGTTATTTCTTTGGGACTCAGAAATAGTTTGGCTTTAATCATCTCTCTTCAGTAGCTGGTGAATAATTGGAGTGGGTTTCTGTGTAATTATGGTTTTACCTGTCTCCCAAAATGCACCACTGCCTCTTCCCATGTGTGCTTTTGCTTTGTGACTACTCCTTTGTAGTGCCTTGCTTCCCTGCTCAGGGAGAGCAGAATTTGACAGTGAGAAGAGGGGGAAGAGGCTGTCAGGGAAAGACGTTGGGAGAAGCAGAGGGTAAAGGGGTCTCTGACCCCCCCCCCACCCCAATTTATTTTTCCTGTTGTAGAGTGAAAAAGGGACATTCAAGGGAAACCTTCATTAATTAGATTCTGTACCTGGCAAATTACAACAAATATATAAATGTTCCACATATACAATCTAATTACAGGGGGGGTGGGGGCGGGTGTCATGTTATAATCAGGGCCATTGTATATTTGAGTAAATACATTATTACTGCTTTCCTGTCCTACTGGAAACTATTTCACCTGAGGCTCTGTAGGACTTTGGTTCCTTTCGCTGTTCCATCATGTTCGTAGCTCATATTCATCTGTGATCAACTTATAACCTCCAGGTCTTTTTCCACTTCTGTCATTTACCACTAACAAGCTCCCAGGTTATTGCAGAAATTCTTATGAGTCCTGAAGTGCAAAACTGCACTTTGTACCACTGCATTTCATTTGGGTTGATTTTTGAGTTGGGTCCTTTGGAAAATTATGCCAACCATACCCAGCAGACTTCTTTTTTTAATAAACTCACAAGGTGTTCAGCTTTGGAAGTGTTTGATGTATATTCAGTATATTTGGTGATAGCCACATTTGTGATCGCTTGAAGGCCTGGTAAGGCAGGAAAGGCTTCTGTGTACTTTGAGTTTTGGCAGAGCTCCATAGGACCCTGAAGCTAATGTGCATAAGACAAGGTATTTAGTTGCATGGTCTCCAAACAGTTCCAATTCCTGCTATTTAAAATTAATAGATTGAAAAAATCCTGCAATCTAGATGTTACAAGTTCTGGAAAATGAAGTTTTCAGGTATGGACATATAATTTACTACCACGTCAAAGCAGGGTGAAGCCTTTGCATCTGCTGCTGCACAGTAACTGTCTGTCGCATGCTCTTACCCCCTGAGAAATGGAAAATAAACCACAGTGGCTTAACCCTCCTGCACTAAGCAATTATTGCAAAGCAGCTGGTGAAGCCCTGTTCCCTTCAGCCCAGTGGTGAATTGTTCCGGTGTCCACATCCTTCACTTCCTTTATTTTTAGAAAGAGCCTGTGCAATTCCACCCTTAACTCTGTTGAGCATGGTTTGCAGTTAAGCCCTCCAAGTTCTAAATTGCTACAGTTTTAAATTTCATGGGAAAATTTAACCAAGTCCCTGAGAGATGCACATGGCCAGAGGTATGCGGGCTCGGAGAAGAGAAATGACTGGCATAGTCACGTGCCAGATCCATGGCAAAAGTGGGAGTAAAACTCAGGCCTCCTGGCTCCCAGCCTTGTGTTGCCTTATTAATCGCATGGTTTCTTAAATACAGCATCATATAGTACATCTCCTCTTCTCACTTATTTTATATCTTGGAATAATTAATTGGTGGACCAAAGATGAAGTATTAGGGCTGATCAGAGGAGAGTACTTTGCCAGTGAAAATTGCCCTTTCTGGCCAGCCATTTCTAGGGTAGATTTGGAATGCTGCTGTCAAATGTAAGTGTGTTGGTTTTTTTTTTTTGGTTTTTTTTTTTTCCACCTGGAGAACAGAGTGCATTTTATCTCTCATTTATTGAAGATAAAAGGAACATAGCTTAGGGGCTGGCAGCTCTGTATGGAATGTGGAGATTAGATGGGTTTACCAGCTGTTAGTGGCACCCCTGCTGAATTTTGAGATTGAGGACATCTCACTCTTTGTCTGGCTGTTTAATTTGATTGTGTGCATTTTAATATCCAAAGCCAAAGTTTCTCATGTATTCAGCATGGGCTGCAGGTTAATGTGGAGATTCTCATTGAGATCCCTTTTCAGAATTTGCCATTACCTGGGCCCCCTACTTCTGTTCCATTCACAAACACAAAACACTGTTGTGGCAACTACCACAGTTACTGATGTGGAAAAGTAAATATCAGGAGACTACCTACAGGCAATAAGTATCTTATAATGCATTTAGTAGACTGACACAAGGAAAAGCCAGAACCATATAAACAGCTAGTGCCCCTTGGATTAAAGGTGCCCAAAGAGGCTACAGTTGGTAACTCCTGTTCTAAAGCATGCCAACCTTAGCAAGGTATAATCTCAGTCTGAAAAGCATGTTGGATGTAATTGTCTATAGGTCTCAGGTTTATAGTTGAAGATTTTGAGAAGGGGAGTAGATCTAATCCAGTGGTTCTCTTTACCTTTTTGTGATCAGGGAACACCATCACTGTTTTTTGAATGTGGCAGCACCCCAGGCTGAGAACCACACCTGTCACTGCCTCAGTTTATCTCAGTGCTTCTCAGCTGGGTTATGCTGCCTCCAGATGAAATTGCCCCATGTGCCTGCTGTTATGGCCAGCCCACAAAGAGCTATGCCATGTTCATATACCCCCTGTGCATTAGGGTTATCTAATCAGCCTAAAGCAAGCAGGAGCTGCCTCATGCTGTGTAACCCTTCCTGATCTGATGCTCCCTGCATTCTTCCTAGAAGCCAGTGGGTGGGATAGTTCCACCTGCATCTGTTTCCAGAAGGAACGTAGGGGGCTTCAGACCAGGAAGCACTGCACAATATCTGGCAGCTTTGCTGCCTCTTTAAGCTGTGTAGAGAGCCGTAATGCCAGGAGGATAAATGGGGTGGATATTACCTGGCCACTGCTGCTGTGACACCCATAAGGGTACCCCAGTTGAGAACCAACGATCTAATCCCAGGCCCATCAAAAAAACCTGATCTCCATTTAGGAATAGGTTGTTCTTGAGCAACATTCTTAACACTTTATAACCTTTTTTTTGCAAGGGGGGGGATATCTGTAGCCCCTTCTGTATACAATATACTTTCTCTGGTTCTAGACTTGAGCTTGTCGTCTTCTCTGCCACCATCTTTACTCCTTTAACCCTTGTTCTTTTCTTTCTTTGCAGCCTCTGTAAATGTGCTTGTTCAGAACTGCAAGATTTACAATGATGCCAGCTGCGATATCTCTGCAGATGGGCAGCTCCTGGCAGCCTTCATTCCCAGTAGTCAGCGGGGCTTTCCTGATGAAGGAATACTGGCTGTGTATTCTCTGGCACCCCACAACCTGGGCGAGATGCTTTATACAAAGCGATTTGGTAAGCAATCATCAAGAGGATGGTTGGAATGCATCAAAATGCATTGATTTGAAGGTCACAGTGATGTAACATGTCACTGTTGCAAAGATCATCCTGTTGCTCGCATTTTGATCAGACAGAAATTACATTGCAGTGGAGATGCTTGAATTGCTGGAGGCCTAGTTTGTTGAACACAGTTCTGGTATATAAAGGTGCTGCTATGAAGAGGTTCCACCAGTTACTGGAATGGCTGGGGGGGGAGGGGGGGCATTGCCATATGAATACTCTTTGCAGAGTCTTATCTGGTAGTGGCAGGGCTTTTCCTAATTTTTTGTACAGTGAACACTGAAGAAAGAGCCTGTGACAGGTGAGTGGAAGGAACAGTTCAGCAGGGAAGTAGATGAGCAAGGGGCTGTGCAGTTCCTCAGACGTAACCTGTTATGTTCTTTCCCCAGGTCCCAATGCCATTTCTGTGAGTCTGTCTCCAATGGGCAGGTATGTGATGGTCGGACTGGCCTCCCGACGCATCCTGCTGCACCCTTCCACAGAACACATGGTGGCTCAAGTCTTCAGACTGCAGCAGCCACATGGTGGAGAAACTTCCATGAGGGTGAGTATTCCTCTGCTTCCACAGCATTTCATTACACTGAAAGTCTTACTAGCTGGCTCTGTTGCTCAGTGCTGAGGTGGCTGATTTATGGTACCAAAAAGGTTTTATTATTTAGTTACTCGATAAAGTAATTGAATAATAATTTGCTACCATTAGTCAGCCACGTCAGCACTGAGCCACAGATTTCTTTTAAGCAACTGCATGCCATAAGCAGTTGCTACACTTGTCATATGAAGGCCTACACTCTGAAAGTGTACTGCAATTTGGAGTCTGATAGGAGTCTTGTAGTTTTATGTTTGTAACCTGCCTTTTACTAGGGGTATCCCATGGTTGAATGCTGTCTTTGTGAGGGAGCAATATCTGGTAGGCACTCTGCTGGGCAATGACACACCCACTTTTGCTAGGATGCTGGGTGTGGTATTGGTCTTATTAACTGATGCTTTTTTAAGAGTGCCTGACTTATACACAGAGAGGAGCTTCTAGTGATTTGGGGAAGGCCCAAAGCCTTGTTCTATGCCTCATCTCATCAGAGGCTGTGCTTACCTCATCAGAAATGCTTATACAAAATAATTGTACTTTTGTCACTCCCCCCCCCCCCAAGGGGCTATCTTCTAGTTAGTTTAACAGAAATGCCAAGGCTGTGAATGGGGTATTATCTTTTGGAGTGGGAGTAGGTTTCCTGTGCTGCTCTGTGGAAGAACCAGGCTGTCAGCCTCAATACATGTCATTTGCATAACCCCTTTATCTTCTCCCAAAGCAGTGGGCAAACTAAACAAAATATACACAGATCACTTCTATCAGCTCTGTAATGTAATTATTTCAGCACTAAGACAGTAGCTCAACAGCAACAGTACACAAGTTTTGGATGGTAAGTGAGGATGAAAATCATGGCCAACTAAAACTGCAGAAGAGTTGCTGAGGAAGCAGAATTATTCATCTATTGGAGGGGAAATCTGGATGTGATGCTCCATAAGTTGGGCAAATCATCATTGAATATTCTGTTCTGTCAGGAGTTTAGGACCAGAGCTTTTTGTTTTCTGTGGGGTTTTTCTTTTAAATCATCTCATTCTGACTGGTGGAAGCTTGACACTGTACAAGACCTTTCATCTCAACAAAGACCTGTAAATAATTTGTTTCTCTGAATGTTACCCCCGCCACCCTTTCTTAAAGCCTTATCTGATATTTTTTGGAGAGCTTTCCCAGCATGAAAGCTCTAAGGCAGGGGTTTTCAACCTTTTCGGATCAGTATACCCCTGGCAGCCGGATGTGGGAGGAGTGGCACATGGCCAAACATGGACTGGCAGCAGCTGCTGTGTGTGAGCCTTCCCCTGCATCCAGCCGGGCAGGCAGTGCATGTGGGATGGTGCGTGGTGGTTCTCTGTCCCTACCTGCCTGCGTGTACCCCCTAGGGCCTTCTCAAGTACCCCCGGGGGTATGCATACCCTGGGTTGACAATCCTTGCTCTGAGGCTTGCTTTTTGTAGGAATTGCAGGGGATAAATTGCTTGGCTCTGTAGTCAGTTTTCAAAATACTGCTGTCATGATACAGAGAGGGGAGCACCTCCATGAAGCTCGCATACAGTTTAGCAGTCAGGTGAGGCAGAGCAGATTCTTGCCTTCATTAGGTACTCCATATTAACGGACCAGATGAGATCAGCAATGACTGTATTCATAGCTAGCCACAGCAGATGACTCCCATCAACACTGGGTTTTTTTGGTTCCATTCTGTCATCTTTCTTAGTTTAGACATTAGGATGGAAAACCAACAGACTGCATAGGACTGTAAGGGACTACCGGGGGTCTTTTGAGTCCATTTTCCTGCCCTCTGAGGCTGCCATCTCAACCACTGAATCCAAAAGAGTGCACAAGAACATCTGCTTCTTTCTCTTTGCCACACCACTAGCCACAAAACACTTCCCAACACAGTATCACAAACTTATGTTCTCTATTCCAAAAGACCAAAAGCTGCAAAGTGTTGTGATAAAAGAAGAACAAGATACATTGTCAGCAGTTGGATAGCTAAGCAAAAGCTTTGGTGGCATGACAGGGTAGCCAGGGACTGATGTGGATTGGGCATGCAGCCAGGCACTCTTAAGGAACGAATCAGAGACGTTCAATGAGCGTGATATAATATGCACTGGCATAGTACCCTGAATATGGATATGACATGTAACAGCGTCAGTTTCACTGTCAAATATAGGTGCACCCTTTCCAGCCACTCTTTTATACCAGTTCATAAAAGTTAAAAATGGGAAAAGTTCAGTTGGCTCATATCACACTTGCTCCTGTCAAAGGCTAGGACAGGTTAGTTTTGGAACATCTATACAGTTTGACTGTAAAGCACTAGTAAATCAGAGGTTTTACTTTTCTTTGGGAGACTGTTTGAGGACCAGCTCTTTTTAACTATGGAGAAATACTCCCAAATCTTCCGTTTGAATTTTCCTTCCAAGTTCTTTTTAATTATTCTTATTTATTATTCCCTTGAAGCAGTTAAAACATATCCTCTCCCTTCTTAGTATTTACACCCTTCAAATACTTGTCGATACTTATTCTGTCCTGCTTTTAATCATCATTTAGTGAAGCAATAAATTGTTGTTCCTTTTATCTTTCTTCATAACTTAATCCTCCAGCCTCTTTCTTACTTTTTTTTTCTTGCTCTTCTGAATTCTCTTGAGCATCTATTTCTTTCCATTATTGGGATATGCTGAAATATGTGTAATGTGCTAGTTATGATCTTACCAGACCTCTGTAGAGGGGCATATTTCCTGCTTTCTCTGGAATTTGAGAATTCAGTGTATGCAGTCAAACTGACAGCAGTGTTTTTTTTTGTCTGTTTTTTGCCACTCGGTCTTATGAAGTCCTATTCAATTTGCCCACTCTTTCTTTTCAATCTCTCTCTTTTTTTTTTCTTGCATTGCATGACCTCCTGAGGTTTCTCCCTCCAGTTGGGTATCTAGATTTTGGACTAGCTATATTTTTTAGGTTTAATTTCATGTTAGCTTGTACCAATGTGTTTTGACTTCTGAGGCTTTAAGCAGAATCTGGTAATTTCATAGTATGTTTTTTCCTTTTCCCAGATCACTATTAAAAATGATTAAAAAAAAAAAATAGGAGGACCTACTTCCAGTCTCTTACCCCACTAAAAGCCTCTGCTCCTTCATGACCTTGCTTGTTTGATCATAATCCCTTGAATTTGCAGTCAATTTGAATCAATTTTGCAAGCAAGATTTTGTATGGCATTGTGTTATATGCCGCTCTGATATTCAGCTGTGCTGAGTATCTGCCTTCTATTCATACATTCTTTGTAACAGGACCAAGACCTGAAAAATAAAGAGGAGGCATAATAAAATTGCACGGTTTCTTTAAGTATTCTTTCATCTAGTCAGAAAAAAGAGTAAATCAATAATTTGTCTAGTGTATTGTTGGATTTTTCAGTAAAACTATTATGTTGATTTAATGCTTCTGAGAGCATGTAAAAATAAAAGCAGAGCCTCAATTAAGATGTTGTATAATATGCATAGCATACTCAGTTCTGACTGCTGGCTGCTGTATTCATATTCATTTGTTTAGAAACTGTCTGCAGGGTGGCAAATGAGTAATGGAAGAAGGTTTAAGGGAAAAGGTAGTTGAGAGAGCTTCTGTCCTTTTGCTTTATAATTTAAAACGTGTAAAAAGGAAGTGCTGTTGAACATTTGTTTAAAAGTGTAAAAGAAACCAGAGTGTAAAAAGAGCGCACCAAATTCCACTGAATCACTTAGAAGCTGTATTAGCATCTTCTGCAACAGAAAGGCCTGGGAAAGCAATTAGGCCATGCTGCAGAATCAAGGTTTGGCAAATCAGCAGAGTAGTGGAAATAGGTACAGTTTGCCTCCATACCCCTCACTGTAAAACTCAGGAAAGTTTAAACAGAGTGACCTAGGTATAGATGCATTTCTGCCAGTGGAAGGAGATTTTTCTGCTGCCTGAGTTGCACCATCTATTCCAGGCAGTAGAAGCTCTGCTAGCAGAAGCTTTCTTACATCAACATAACTATATCTACACTGGAGCTTTTCTCAGCCTACCTGTTTTAGGTAAGGGTGTTATCTGTTTATTTCCCTAGCTGACCTCCACATTTATAGAACTTTGCAATGTAGATAAAGGTTTACATGATCTCAGTAGTCACAGTATACTGTGGAGAAAAGAGACTGAAAGCGTGGACTCATGGGCAGGTTGCCAAGAGGTAAAGAAGGCAAGGCAGAGCTTTATGGTATCTTAGGTGCTCTGATACAAGTGTACATGTGCATGCGTTTATCCTGTGTTAGATAAACGCTAAACTGATAGCTTAGCCTTCCTTAAAAAACTACTAAGCCACTGTGGTTTAACTTTCATCTATTGCAAGGTAAGAGCATGTACGTTAGGCCTGTGCAAGTCGGCAGCAAATCTGATCCGGCTTTGGATCTGGCTGCTTCGGATGGCCGCGATCCAGTCCGGAGCTCCAGGCTGGGTTTCTGCCTCGATCTGGCCGAAGCAGCTCTGAAGCTTCGGAGCTGCCTTGGAGATCCAGCCATAGAGTATAATGGGAAATCAATGAAATATCTATAACTTTGTTTTTTGTCCAATTTAGATGAAACTTTTAGGGATGGTAGCTTTTGCTGAGAGCATGAAACCTGCCAAGTTTCAGGAAGATTGGTGCAGGGGTTTGGAGGGAACTGTACCCCAAATTCTTGAAAGCCAAACTCATGTCACGGCTGTGTGTTACAACACAGGGGTGTCAAAACTGCAGGGCTGGTAGCTCTTACTGAGGCCACAACGCCTGCCAAGTTTCAAGAAGATCGGTGCAGGGGTTAGGGGGGAACTGCCCCTCAAGCTGTGGACAAGCAAAACTCGTGCCATGGGTGACACTGAGCGTGTTCAGGCACAGCAGGGTGACAGCTGCAGGGATGGAGGCCCCTGCTGTGATGCCTGCCAGCTGTTGAGGAGATGGGTGCAGGGGGGTTCTGGGGCCCTGCACCCCTAGCTGCT